CTAAGTGCCTAGTAGTCATATCCTAAGTGCCTAGTAGTCATATCATATCGCATCTAACTGCCGGGTGCTGCTCTGCCACCGCATCGCCTGCCCTCTATCGTGGAGCGAAAGTCGAAACGTGGTGATCTTGGTGGGTGGGTGCGTGGTGCTTTCATGTAGATGAGTAGGCGACTGGAGGGGAGGAGTGTGTGGGTAGGCGACTGTGGGGGAGGGGGGGAATGTCAGGGTGGACGACTGGGTGGGGAAATGTGAGGGTAGGCGAGAGGGTGGGGAAATGTGTGGCTGGGCGACTGTGTGGGAAAATGTGTGGGTTGTGCGACTGTGTTAGGAAATGTGTGGGTGGGTGGGTGACTGGGTGGGAAACTGTACTGTGTAAGGTAGCAACGCGTTAGAGAATGATAAGGCTGATAGGGTCTATGTCCCCCAGGGTACTATCGAAAGGGTACCCTGGGTAGTGGGTACGGTTCAATATATCGGAAAGTACCTCGGGGCCTACGATATGTCGCTGCGTACCCTGCATTGTCCCACCGTACCCTGACTTTCAGCCAACTGATGCCGTAATACATACACTCTGTCAAGTTACCACATCACATAGAAGAAACCTCAAAACATCGCAATCCAATAAAAATTTATGCTCATTTTTACTATATTTTTCTTTTTCCTTTTTCATATATTAATATTTTCATTTTCATATTTATTTTCATATCATTCAAATATTCACGATCTGAGAGAAATCTTTCCAAATGTACACCACTAACGGGCACAACAGTGCTATCAACCTGCATGTTGCATAATTACACGGTGATACATACAATTTCCAGAAGAGATGCGAATACTGAAACGAATATTTTGCGGGAACGGACCGGAAACAAGGAACGGGAGCATAACGTCAGGGTACGGTGGGACAATGCAGGGTACGCAACATGCAGGCGCGTAGCCAAGGGGGGGGGGGGTAATAACAACTTGGGTACTTGTTAACTCGCCCATTTTCCAAATGCTATTTTAAATGCTCAGTTATTATGTAATTATAGGGACGCCTAACAATCCGCGTTATCCTTGTTATGGTGCTAACATGTTTGGTAATAAAAAAAACAGTTTTCGTTACTATATATGAATGCGAGAGTCCGATGTGTTCCTACGCACTGCAATTGAGTCCTGTGTTGGTTCGAAACACGGGAGTTTCAGTAACCCACACTCACTAAATTAATCACACCCTATTATGTGCCTTAATTAGAATTAGCGCAATTGCGCTATTTATTGTACGGAAGGCATAGACCAGTTCTATACGAGGGAAAGCACTGTTTCGGCAGACATATGAGATTCTTACGCGTTGTTATTGCAACCTACATAGTTTAAGTACCTACATGATTTGTACTTTTCGGTTCGCTGTTTTTTTAGTAATTTCTGCTTTGGAGGCGTAAGTTTCTGGTGTTACACGAGCAGGAAGTAGAAGTGAAAAGCGTGGGAGCGGGAGCGGCGTATGAGTGTGCATACATGATACAATTTCATATAACAGTATTCAGTTCGACATGACATTTACGCCAGGGTAACATTCTATATAGCATCATCTAGGGGGGTGATCAGAGCAAAAATCTACGTGCACGCCGTAGTGCGTGAGATAACAAGACTGAGGTTTGAAAACAAAATGCATATACGTCGCATAGCGGCTCCAAAGCTGAATGTTGTGCGAGTTTCTTTGACACACTTCTCACTCAATAAGTGCTTATTTACTACCAGCTGAATGCATCGTAACGTTCGCTGCAAGACGGACATCTGTATATTATGAAATAGCATGCAGAACATTTTAAATTAGCCTTATCATAGAGTAGGTCTATGCGTATATCCGCCAAAGCCCCGCGCTCACACACATGGTAACATGCCCCGCCATCCGCTTAGTTGCTCTAATAATAGTGAACATCTCGGCGTCAAACGGCGTCTCTTCTGAAGATTAATTACACTTTTTCACCCAAGTGGAGCCCCTTAATATGACTACGCATGAACCCAGCAGCCGACCCTATAAGCGCCGACGTTTTATGTCATCTTTACCATTAATACGTTGCGTAATTTACTTCGCGTACGGCGTTGCCTAGCATGCACATGCAGCGTTATACTTAGCATGGTTCTGCCTCGTTTGAGTATTTTGAGTCTGTACACTCTGATTTGACGCACCCCTGGCCTCGGCATGGCCCGAAATAGATTGACGTAGGATCATATTTTGCAGTCTGTACGGGGGTATCTATCCGACGTGCGTCGGTAAAAGAACGATTGCGATTTATTTGCGACTAGATCGACAGATATCATAACAAATAAATCACACGGTAGTTTTTACTGTTAAATTTAGAAGCACATATATTTATTTTCTGCAATCGTCGTTCGGCACGGTTATAAGCTAGCACGGTTATAATGACACTCGCACAGTAATCAACGTTACCGAAATATAATATTTTTACGTGGTCAGGGACACCATAGACGAACAATATTGTTAGTCTATGGAGATACGCACGGGAAATAAAAAGACGTAATTTCTGTTGTGTTCAAACATCCGCGGACGTAGATGCGCTGAACTTGAAGGCGATTAAAAAGCTCTCTATATAAACCGCGTTTTGTCAGCTTTGGCTGCACGTAGTAACTCTGCCGAGGTACACCGGATACATTCACGTATTCTCATGAGTAACATGGGGCGCCGACACATAATGCAAACTGGGAAGTGTATACGACGCTTACTGCAGACTATCGAGGATATAGCCCGACGACCATTTTCGCTCACCGTAACCGACGATCACAAATTACCAGGAGAAACACAACGCTCTGTCGTCACTACGAGTATACATAGCCGAAGCCATAGAAATATGTCTCTATATATATGTATCTATGTATGTCGCTATAATATGCTTTCTATATATTTCTATGGCCGATGCCCACCGACGACGCTAGGTGTCGCTGATAACTAGGCGCCGTCGGTCGGCGTTGTAGCGCACGCTACCTCTTCACGCACACATGCGCTATTAGAATGTACTACCTCGGAAAATCTAAAATATATTATTCTTATGAATATCTCATTATCTGTACCTTCACAGATATTACGATATACTACATGCTATATATTACTATCGCTTTACACTATACCAATGCATTGGTATGCAAAACATTTTGTTTACAACAAAAGAACAACTCAGTATATTCATCCATTCGTATTTTGATACTGCAGTCACAGTTATAGCGAAAAAACAACAACTTTTGATAATGTTGGCGGAGGCCAACATCGCTATAACCGATTCTAATTCAGATTTAATTCAGATTTTAGAATTATCCTAATTTGACTTTTAACTCTTCGATTCGATCTTAACACGTTCATTATTGGAAACGAGACGAATTTTTGCTCGTTTTGCAGTTACTATTTATACATTGTACATTATACATTATACATTATGCAGTTACTCGTTATACAGCAGATTATAAACTAAGAACTCTAAGTGCCGCGTTATTTTTTATCTGTGCACATTTAATAATGACTTCGTTATGGCAAGGACATAATATTAGTGTGCTTGGTGCGATCGTACGCGGTCTCGCTGGCCCTCGTGCTGTCAAAATGTTCATAGTAAACGGCACCGTTTTCACAATTCTATACAGAGGAAGTTCCACGGCTAGGTAGAGCAATGTGCAGACGAGGTAGGAAAAAACCAATATTCCCGCGTAGTTGTATAGCTGGAAAAAAAGCGTGCAGGTCTTGTAATAACACAGATATTATCATGTAGATTTAGAATAGAGAGAGTTTTTGTTCTTTAAAGTTTCTTGGTAAATTTCTTTTTCTAAATCTGTGATATTACCATGAACACGGGGTGTAAAAAAAAGGTGCGAGTTGTTTCATTTTTGTAGAGCTAGTCACGCAATACATTTAAGAATATATTCATATCATTGCTACAACGAACAAACACTAAACAAAACGCGCCTACCATGGGCCAGTCGTCATAATGCATTGTCACTGGGCGCGTGGAGTAGTACACAAGCAGCAGCGCCGGGTGAAGAATGTAGACAACGTAGCTAACTCTGCTGAGTGGCTTCCATGCACGCCATTTCAGAAAGAGTTCTACTGCACCTGCGGGCAAATCAGTGTACGCGCATACTTCACGCGTATACGTCACTTTGTGATTACTCTGTGTTTAATTTGTGATTACTTTGTGATTACTTTGCGATTACTTGATGATTGTGTGGCTATTACTTTGTGGGTGACAAGTACATTACATGTGAGGTGCGTAGTGCAAATTTGATATGCGCTGACACAAACGAGCACCGACAGCTATAGGGTTCGGGTAATTCTCTGTTTACCTATATTCCGCAAGATAAACTGTTTATCGTGATAGTAGTTTAAGACAATTTACATAATTTTGATATTTACTATTCATGCTTATCGTACACGCATAATTACTATTTGAACAATCAGCCTCCAGAAACGTTGCCGATGGCTGTTGCTGGGATGCGGTTAAACTAGACGAGAACAAATAAGGTGGAAAATGCAACGTAGTAAATTATAATGTACTACAAGAGGAACCCACCTCCATTGCCCGTTTCGCAGGCAAACGCGATCCACGCCACACCAATAGACCAGGCGCATCGGTGACAGGCGTTGTAAATAGCTTTGACCGCTTCGTTGTGCTGGGCGCCTGGGTTCTGGTAGTGGTCATATAATCCAAACAGCACGGCGAGCATCAGAGCAGCTGAGATGAACCAGTTAGCAACAACCACGGCCTGAAATTGAAGCTAGTTTGTGTCAACATGAGCGAAATAGCCTCATGATATAGGGTTGTGGTTTTTCGGGGCGGGGGGGGGGTAACTGTGTGTTACTATGTGTAACTAACTGTTATATGTACTACATATAACAGTCCCGCAACTGCTGCTGCTGCTGCTGCTCCCTGCCGCTTCTGCTGCTCCCTGCTGCTGCTGCTGCTGCTGCTGCTCCTGCCGCTGCTTGCTGCGACTGGAGGGGAGGAGTGTGTGGGTAAGGCGGAGCTGTGGGGGAGGGGGGGAATGTCAGGGTTGGAGGAGACTGGGTGGGGAAATGTGAGGGTAGGCGGAGAGGGTGGGGAAATGTGTGGCTGGGGACGTTGTGTGGGAAAATTGTGTGGGTTGTGCGACTGTGTTAGGAAGATGTGTGGGTGGGTTGGGTGACTGGGTGGGAACTGTTACCCCCCCAAGCTGTGTACGGTAGCAACGGCGTTAAGAGAATGATAAGGCTGATAGGGTCTATGTCCCGGCAGGGTACTATTGCGAAAGGGTACCCTGGTAGTGGGTAACGGTTCATAATCGGAAAGTACCTCGGGGCGCTACGATATGTCGGCTTCGCGTAGCGCCTGCATTGTCGCCACGATACCTGACTTTCAGGCCAATGATTGCCGGTAATTCACATACACTCTGTAAGTTACACATCACAATAGCAGAACCTCAAACATGCAATTCCAATAAAAATTTAGCTCCATTCTTTACTCATATTTTTCTTCTTTCCTTTTTCATATATTAAATTTTCATTTTCATATTTATTTCATATTCATTCGAAATATTCAGGCGATCGAGACGAAATCTTTCAAATGTTACACGCACTCAACGGGGCAACAGTGGCTATCAAACCTGCATGTTGCATAATTACACGGTGATACTACATTTGCCAGAAGAGCATGCGGAATCTGAAAGCCGATATTTTGCGGGAACGACCGGAAAGCAAGGAAAGGGAGCATAGTCAGGGTACGGTGGGACAATGCAGGGTACGCACATGCAGGCTGCGTAGGCCGAAGGGGGGGGGGGGGTAATAACAACTTGGGTACTTGTTAACTCGCACATTTTCTCAAAAATGCGTGATTTAAAATCGCTCAGTTATGTAGATGTACATTATAGGACGCTTAAATCCGCGTTATCCTTGTTATGGATGCTCAACATGTTTTGGGTAATTAAAAAAAACACGTTTTCGTACTATATATGAATGCGAGAGTCCGATGTGGTTGCGCTACGACTGCAATTTGAGTCCTGTGTTGGCTTCGAACAGCGGGAGTCTTCAGTAACCACACACTTCACGTAAATTAAATCACACCCTATATGTGGCCTTTAAGTTAGAATTGAGGCAATTTGCGCTTACTTTAATTGTAGGAAAGGCAGACCCAGTTCTATAACGAGGGAAAGCACTGTTTCGGCAGGACATATGAGATTCTTTACGCGTTGTTATTGCAACCTACATAGTTTTAAGTACCTAACATGATTTGTTACTGTTTCGTTCGCGTTTTTTTAGTATTTCTGCTTTGGGGCGTAAGTTCTGGTGTTACACGAGCAGGAAGTAGAAGTGAATAAGTGTTGGGGAGCGGTGAGCGGCGTATGAGTGTGATAGCATGATACAATTTCATATAACAGTATTGCGTTGCGAATGACTTGTACGCCAGGGTAACATCTATAAGCATCATGCTACGGGGAGTGATCAGAGCAAAATCTACGGCGATGCACTGCCGTAGTTGCGTGAGGATAACAAGACTGAGGTTGAAAACAAAATGCATATTACGTCGGCATACGGCTCCCAAGCTGAAGTGTTGTGGCGAGTTTCTTTGACAGTACTCTACGTCCACTCAAAAGTGCTTATTTACTACCAAGGTGAATGCATACGGTAACGTTCGCTGGCAAGACGGACATCTGTATATTATGAAATAGCAAGAAACATTTTAAATTAAGCCTTATCATAGAGTAGCGTCTATGGTATATCCGCCAAAGCCCCGCGCTCAGACGATGGTAAACATGCCACCCATCCGCTTAGTTGCTCTAATAATAGTGAACATCTCGGCGTCAAACGGCGTCTCTTCTCTGAAGATTAATTACACTTTTCACCCAAGTGGAGCCCTCTAAATGACTACGCATGAACCCAGCAGCCGACCCTATAAGCGGCCGACGTTTTATGTCACTTTACCATTAATACGTTGCGTAATTACTTCGCGTACGGCGTTGCTAGCATGCACATGCAGCGTTATACCTTAGCATGGTTTCTGCCCGTTTGAGTTTTTTGAGTCTGTACACTCTGATTTGACGCACCCCTGGCCTGCGACATGAGCCCGAATAGATTGACGTAGATCGATATTTTGCGTCTGTACGGGGGTATCTATCGCGACGTGCGTCGGTAAAAGAACGATGCGATTTATTGGCGACTAGATCGACAGATATCATAACAAATAAATCACACGTAGTTTTTACTGTTAAATTTAGAAGCGCATATATTTATTTTCCTGCAATCGTCGTTCGGCACGGTTATAACTACACTTATAATAGACTCGCACGTAATCAAACGTTACGAAATATAATATTTTTTACGGTCAGGGACACCATAGACCGAATAATTATATTATAGAGATCAGTGCACGGCACAGCACAGCGCATTACGGCAATATTACTATTAGCCACTGGTCTATATCATAATGCATGTTAACCCGACCAGGCTGTGTGACTACAGACTAACGTCAATACACCAATAGGTATTCTAACCCTAGCAATACCGTTTCTTGGAGCTAAATGCATGTGTAACCTGTATCATACAGGCGGTATGTTCCGCTTCACGTGTTTGTATATATATATATCATCTATGATATTGTGAAGCCATTGTAGGCGTATATGCGATAGCATGGCGGGCACGATAGAGATGTTTAATTATTTGCCTTTTCCATGATTTAGATGGTCCATAATAATTTGTGGTAGCTTCACACGTGACCACGTGACCACCTTTGCTCTGCCACCGCATCGCCTGCCCTCCAGCTATCGTGGAGCGAAAGTCGAAACGTGGTGATCTTGGTGGGTGGGTGCGTGGTGCTTTCATGTAGATGAGTAGGCGACT